TTGAAAAAATCTTTTAATTGTCCCTTTCCAAAAAAAAAAAAAAAAAAAAAAAAAAAAAAAAACACTTTAATATTTTATTATAATTTATTTACAATAATGTAGATATGTTAATTGATTATAATGATTTATTTTATGAAGTTTGTTTTTTTTTTTAATTTATATGTAATTTTTTGGTGCATTGAAATTTACATGATAGGAAAAACTGAGATGACATGTAATTACACACGCATGCTTATGTTGAGTACCATAATTCTAATTGATAAAGATGATAACTTACACATGAGAATAAGTCAATAGGATTTCTTTTAATGTTGATTATATGTATGTAATGGGAGATACGTGGCTAGGATATGATATGATTTAAATGCCAAAGAGTTGAAGGTGATAACTCCTATGTAATATATCATTTGGTTGTTCTTATTGATATGGTATAATATAATAATATCCGATTCACTTTGCTTGGTAAAAAAAAAAAAATCACATAATATGCTATAATAGTTAAAACAGTTCACTTTTATAGTAGATGTGTGATAATGAGTCACTATTATAACATGTGTAAATATATATTCAACGGTAACTTTCATTGTAATATTATGTACTTTGTGATATTATGTCGTGATATTATAGATGATAAAAGTAACACCTTTCATATAAATATTGGGCAAATTTTCATTAAATAGTTAATCTAGTTTGCTTTGTTGTGGTAGAATGGTGATATCACATTAAAAAATAATAATCACACACAGTCACAATCTTCTATAATTGCATTGCTCGATGCTAGCATACCACAGACGGCCCTTGTATCTTTGCTCAAATGCCGCTTATATGATCACATTAATATTGAGCAAATTTTCATTAAATACTCAATCTATAATGTTTTGTTGTGGTAGAATGGTGATATCACATCAAAAAATGATAATTACACACAGTCACAATCTTCTATAATTGCATTGCTCGATGCTAGCATACCACAGACGGCCCTTGTATCTTTGCTCAAATGCCGCTTATATGATCACATATTTATAATGATTATCCACAACACTAAATGCACCATGTTGGCATTTTTGTTCTCACACTACGTACTTGCATGACACCAATGCATAAAGAGTGTTGATAGAGTCAAACCTCTTCTCTAATATACTTATAGCCATAAGATCTCATTCTACATTCACTAGTACCTAGCTTTCAACTATTACAATGATTCAGGTTCATGTGAGTTTTCTAAATAGATTTTTATATGTATTGATCTATTAAATACCTTTCAGTACAATAATTTATAAATATGGCAAATCTAGATGACTTATTAATTATTATGTGAAATTTTGTTTAATGTTGGATCCAAGGTCGTTTGTTGGGACACCACCAAGATAAAAGCACTTAGTACAAAAAGACCGAGTAGAGGACAATCCAGAATGCATAGAGAAATGAGATTAGGCATATTATTTGTATTACTTTTTATCATTTTGTCATTTTTTGTATAGTATACATCTGTCACTTTATTTATAAATGAGGGAATATACTGATCAATTAGATATAAAAAAAATATTTTAATAATAAAAAATACAAACATGACTAATATATACTTAGAGATATCTCACGGTGCATGCAGAACTGTAATGCTCCTTGCTGCTTGAATGATGTTGCAATGCACCCTGCAACATTAAAATGACCTTGTAAAGTAACATGCAACCATGTTATCCATCGAACTAAGGTTTGGTGTGGTGCTGAGTTTTCTTTTTTTTTTTTTTTTTTTTTGGGGCTAATACTAGATTAGTTGTTAAGCTAGCTGTCAAATGCACTCTCTATCTTGTGATATAGAAGAAATCCAAGGTAGATTAAGCAAGTTACAGGCTGACATGAATCTAGGGGTAAATTGATAGGCCATTGGAATTGTGTATTCAAGTTGAGTGAACTGTCGACAAGCTGATGCTTAAGTAGGTTTAACCTGATTTGACCCTCAAACTACCTTTGTGGGTTGATGAGTTTAACTCAACAAGTCACGAATTGGCCCACAGACTGACTATGTGGATTTAGGGTGTAAATTTAAAGTTTACATATTCATATAGTACTTGCTATATATTAACTCAAATATAGTTTATTACAAATAGAACCCTCAATATTTCAATCTATTATCTTGACACATTTCATTCAAGGGGTCTATATGCTATTTAACTAAATGTCAATGAAATTCAGTGTTAAATACATAGTTCATTTTTTAAATTTATTTGATAAATGACACTCGATATATTATAATGTCAATTATGAAAATAACTTTGTCGTCAATTTATTTGGAGATTCATTGAGGCATAGGAGAAATTGACTCATAAAACTTAACCAATCAAGAAGCTTTTTTATTTATTATTATTATTTTTTTTTTTGGTAATTAATATTTTTGGGATAAAATATTATTATTTACAAAATTAGCATATGTATGATTTTCTTAAACCAACGAACAGATGTATTAAACGCGACTCAGTCGTGCCATCGAGAATTTGATAAAAATTAAAAAAGACCAATCAAGAAGCTTTTTTTTTTGGGTAATTAATATTTCTGGTATAAAATATTATTATTTACAAAATTAGTACGTATGATTTCTTAAACCAACGAACAGATGTGTTTAAACGCGACTCAGTCGTGCCATCGAGAATTTGATAAAAATTAAAAAAAAATAATTTTCTCTTACATTTACTTTTAAATAGTTTAATTCACATAAATGGTGAGCACGAGAACAATTAACAAGAATTAAATTTGAATTTGAATAGGGGGGCGAGTTATATTATTAAGGGCTCGTTTGGGGCAGCTTATTTAGTGCGGTGATATTTTGAAAACGCACCTTACCTGTTTAGGTGAACCGCGTTTTGACAGTTTATGTGTTTTCAAAACGTTGAAAACAACATTTTCTTGATATTTTGAAAACGCACCTTACCTGTTTAGGTAAACCGTGTTTTGACAGCTTATGCGTTTTCAAAACCCTGAAAACAGCATTTTCACGCCGTACCTACCTAGGTGTCGTGGGAGTTTTCTGGCCGCGGCCTGATTTTTCCAAGAAATAAAATTTGTAATAGTCACCGAACCTAGCTTACCAGCAGATCTACAGCTACCCCAAACATACCCTAAATCTTAATTTAATATGAACCCGAACTTTACAAATAATCCCAAACACAAGTTAATTTCAAATAAATAAAAATTCTAAACAGTCAAAATACAAACACAATTAACTCACTACAAAATTGCTTTTACTATAGTAATCTCGGCCAAAAAAATCAAAAACATAATAAAATTATCAATTTTTTGTTTGATTTATAGATAATTTAATTATAAACGAATTTATTATTTTACTTTATTTTTTGTAATCGCTTATTTTAATTCTTATATATTAATTTTATAAAAAAATAATGATCAAACAAAAAAAAAAAAATAATTTCTGCATTTACATGCATACCGCTCATATATATCTTATGTATTTTGGAAAATATTTGCGTACGTCGGAGGTTATTCAGAGAGTACATGGGGGTTATATCCGGGTTAACCCCCTGTAAGCTTCTTGTAACTTACTTATACCTATGAAACTACAGAAGCGTGGAACTTATTTGTAGGTTACAGGTAGGTTACAGAAGGATATAACACGAATATAACCTCCCTATATTCTCTGAGTAACCTTCGGACGTAAGCAATTCTGCGTCCGTCTTAGGTACGCAAATATTTTCCATGTATTTTACATATCTAATACCTAAAGTTAAAATTTTACATAAATATATATTCACATTTTAAAATGTTAAAATAGTGATATTTATAATGTGATATAATAGATTCGAGTGGTATAAATATAAATATTAAAATTTTGGTGCTAGATATATAAATACAAAAGAACGAGAATAGGGATGGTATGCATGTAAATGGCCCGCTACATTTTTTAATTTTCAACCAACAAATTAAAATGATTTAAATAATGGCGACGGAGATTGGCTGCGTTGGTTGGCGCCATCCCAGCCACCAGTCTCAGCAACAGACTCACCTAATCTGTCCTCATAACAAAATTATCAACGACTCATTAGTCAATTAATTAGACCACAGTTGACCAGCCATTGGTCCACGTCAGACTCTCTAATTATCATTATGTGCGTGGTGGTTAATCTGGTGATTAAATTATATTAATTTCACTTAATTAATCAGTAGGAGAGCTTGAATCCCTAATTATATATCCTCGGATTCTTCTAATCAGGGAATGATGATCAGATGAAAGAAGTTGAACGGCTCATGATTCCCTCAACATTTGGTGTAAGTTCTCAATATATAATTGGAAGATTTTACATGCATGCCACTCAATTACTATGTATTTACATATCTAATACCTAAACTTTGATTTTTTACATGAAAAGGTCGAAAAGGATTGGGTGGTATAAATTAAGGTAAAAAAAGCAAACTTTAGGAGGTAGATATGTAAATACATAGGAATTGGGTGGTGTGCATTTACCCCTAGTATATATGAATAAGCTACAAGGCAATGTCAAGCGCAAGCATGTTTTGTTATAAATTATGGTGAAATGATGGATTTAATTTGTATGTTATTTAGATGGTGGTTACAAAGGGGATGGTAGATGTCCTAATTATATCTTAATTGGACTTCAATGTTTTATGGTGGCCCAATGATGATATCTCTCTCCAATAAGAGATGTTGCAAAGCCTAATCTCCCATCATTGATCCACAAGAAGTATAAAGTGGGATCCACAAATATTTTTTTATTAGAAGTTAAAGTGGCTCAACCCCAATGATGCTCAAAATATTATAATTTCATACTTATATATATAAAAAAAAGAGCCAATTTGGTGTTTCTCACGATTTTCCTTATGATTATCTCAAGCTTTAAGAGTAATATTTATTGATTACCTAGTTTGTTAATGAACAAAAGTTGTTAATGAATTCTCGAGCTCTCCTTAACATATGATAAATTTGGCAAGTCCATTCATCAGTTTATCACTCAATTCCTACTGGAGATGTTAGATATTCTAAACATAAATTTGATCATAATTTAGGTGGTACTTATTTGGAATCTCCAAGTAGACACATTAGATGCACAGTCAACATGAAGCAACCGAACCGATGACATCAACCAAGTAAATTGAATTTGTTAAGAAGCATTTCAATAAGAGACACTAAAATCTTGTATGAATATCGAAAATATCGATGTGAACAATTGGGCATGCGATATGACAATTAAGCCAACTTTCCCAATAAATCAAATAACCTCATTAATGAGATCGATAAGAAGTCTTCTTCTTTGAAACATGATAAAGAAATGTAACAACTTATGATCTTTAAGCGAGAAGTAGCATTCACAATACATGTGATTTTTACTATTTTGTGTGTTATTCAAAAAAAAATTATAGATGCAATTAGTAAGGAGAAGTATCTCCATTGATCACCTCAAATACATATGTTGTCATTAATGACACATTTAAATATTTTATTTTTCATAAAGATCATAGTCAAAACATTAAATATTGTTATCAAATCCATAATCTTGTTGAGGAGTTTATTTGTGCTAGAAATTACAAAGAATTTCTCGTCATCGAACTTAGCATCCTAATACAACGACTAAAGATGGGAAAAGAAAATCAAATTTAATCAATTCTAGCACAATTAATTCAAAGGGTGAGTATAATTTCAGATTAAATTTATTAAAAACCACTATTAAAAATGTCTTAAGCAGATTAAATTTTGTTCTGAAAAGGGAGTATCTCCTCCAAACATTTAATAATTTAAGAATTTGATTTGATAAAATAAACAGAATTTCACTCTTTATTTTGTTCTTTTCTTTGTTGGAGAAAATTTAATGATTGCACAACTCGAGTATAATTTATAAATTTAATTTCATGAAATGTACAAAAGTATACTTAACCCCTGCATAGGGCAACATCACCTTTTGCTAGCCTTAGGGAATATTAACCAATAAGAACTCTCATTCTATTAAAGAAAGTTCATTGCAAACCATTTGTATGATGCTAGGCTGATGCTAGGCTCAAAATATGCTTTAAGACAACCAAAACATTTGGGTTGGTGGCTGTTGAGAGTGAGAAAGTTCATCACTAAAAGACATAGTTGTTGAGGCATTAACATAAGCCACAACCATAGCAAGCTAAGGCATTATCTATAGTCATGACTTTGGTTGAAGTTATGATTGCAAGTAAAATAAAAAAATGGCAGGGCAAGGGGTCATAAGTTATAATAGTTAGATGAAGTTATTCATTCCTATATTGGATGAATATTTCAAAAACTTTATCACATAAATAAGATAAAATTTTTTGTCTAAATAATCTTCTTCTAAAGATCAATCAGCTTATAAAAACATAGTAAAAAGAAGCTCACCATTTATCATACATCATCAAAGTACTTAAATGTCCTGTCTAAGGATGAATGATGTATGATCAAAGATTAGGCCAAGAGTTTATAATGCGAGAATACCACTTTAAACTCATAATTAAATAAATAACATATAGAAGGGGCGTGAGCCCACAATTTAATGTTGAAAATCACTGCAACTATCCGGATAGATGACAAGTAGAGGATAGAGGGGGACAAATCCAAAGAAATGCATGGACTTGAAAATTGCGACAATTTTATAATGTGAGATTTATTATTATTATTATTATTATTATTTATGAGTAGACACAATATTTAGATTTTTATAGTATTTTAACAAGGTACTTAATTGTTGGTTAGATTTAAATGCTTTTAGATATCTTAGGGTGGGGTGAAGATTTTATAAATAATCATTAATGTGATACATTATGATATATAAATTGATTTTAGTACGATCATCTAGTTATTATGAATTTGAATTATTCGATGCTAATTTCCAAAAACTCTTGGCCAAATCTTCAACTGTTTTTATTTGTTTATTTATTTATTTATTTATTTATTTTGGGTGATAACACAACTTATTTCGGAGCTATGCCTGATGCACTAAGAGTTTAATTTATCATCAACTCTGGAATATAAACTTATGGATAAAGCCAATTATTGGTATTTATACTCAATTTTTTGACCATGTTATATTGGGCTAGACTCAACATTATCCCTTGTCTTAACAGAAATTAAATTCATAGAAAAAGGAAGTAATTTTGCAAACAAATACATTATTAAATCTAACTACCAAAGTCTAATTTGAGGGATAAGAAGATGAAATTGCACATGAATATTTTGGCATAATAGTATTAGGTCCAAATCAAGAAGACATTCATGTCCTACCAACCATTTAAAATTGCACCCTCACACATGATATTGTATAAAATTACAAATAACATTATTGTAAAATTAACAAACAATTTAAACAACAAAAACTAATCGATTTCGCATTTGGGCAGTAAAAACATATCCTTCAAGGCCATAGAGAGATATCGACATTTTTCCTATTAATTTATAACAATTAAAATTAGGAGAATTTAGATCAATTCCAAACAATTCTTGGATATTTATATTTCTAACACCTAAACAAACTTACTTATAATGCGACACTCGAAACTTTAACATCACATAAAAAATAACATCATTATTAACTTATTAAAAATGAAATATATGTTTACAAGATAAAAATATCATCAATTCAAATATCAAACTTTAGTGTCAGATACATAAATAAATAAATAATGGGCAATATTTATGTAAATATCTTGAAAATTTATTGTTTTGAAAGATAACAGATGTAAATTTATGAAATTATGAGGATAAAGCTATCACATGATAGCATACTAAGTAAACATTTACTACATATCAGATATATATTACTTTGCTCTATGATAAAAGAGTGATATTGACGAAAGAGAATCGATTCATTCTCTCTATCCTCTATATTATCTCTTATTTCTCATTATCTATTAACATACACCACACATTTTTTACTCCATCTAGACCCATCTTTTCAAAAAATTACGAGCATCTCCATCGAATTAAATGTTATGTGATAAAAGTAGAAGCTCTGCAATAATCTTTTCTGAATCTTAGATGAAGTGCATAACTAACTAGATGGACGGGAGGCCCGCCTTTCGCAGGACCACCGGAAGTGATCTTATCTGTAGGGTACACAAAAAGGCCTTTGAAGACATTAGCAGTACCGATTGTGTTTCCTATGCCCACACACATAATCAAAGCTATAGAAGGGACAATGATTCTAATGGCAGTCTCTACAGCGCACATGCGACACAAAAGCAATCACATGGGAGATGCCCAAACTTAATGAAGTCCCACACTACAAATAATTTTTCTGCATGTATTATTGAAACAACTTCATTGAATTATTTTGAATTTATTTGAAAACAACTGTACTATAAAAGTTAAAAAAAATCACATTAAACCTCCAAAAGGGTGGTGTTAATTTTCTATATTTGGTACATGAACAAATCATATTGGGATAATTTACAGGATTTAAAGGTTGATTTTTTCCTAATTTGTCAATTGAATATTGCATAATTTAAAAATAAATGAAATAAAATAAGGAAAAAAAATCAATTTTTTACAACAAAAAAGCATTTCAGCCTAGAGAGAGAGAGAGAGAGAGAGAAGAACGAACCTTTAAAGATGGAGTACAGTGGATCATTGTATGGTGTGCTGTAAATAGCAATTGTAACCGAATCACTGAAGTTTTGGTGTGAGGCAGATGGGTGTAATAAGATGCGCTGAGACACACGAAATGTGAAACGATATGCAAATAATGGGTCTTCATGAAAAGAATTTGGAACTTATTATAGTGCGTGCGGGCATTAATTAAAATCTTATTAGCCCACTAATAAGACACCACCAAAAGGTGCTTTCACTCGGCGCTCAATAAGCTGCAGATAAGCTCGGCAAAAATGCCTTTACGATGTTAGAATCCAGAAGCTGAAATAAGTACGAAATGTGAAAGATATAGGTTACGTTTCCCGAACGTTAAGCTGTTGCTATTTAACAAATTCATTTTAAGATTGGGAAATTACGTACATACCACACAGTTATCATGAATTTACATATCTAAAACCTATATTTTGATATTAACATTTATAACATCTCGGTGTTATAACCCTATGCATAAAAAGTGCATTTGACTTTTTAAAAGTTAGTAAAAAATGATATTTTCAACATTATTTTAAAGATTTGAATGATATGAATGTAAATATTAAAGTTAATGTGTTTGACATGTATATACATAAGAATTATGAGGTATGTATGTAAATGCAACATTTAAGATCTAAGTGTGACAGTATTAAAATTGATGTTCACAGGAAGACTAAAATTACAACATCCAAGGTAGACTAATTCAAGTATTAAAATAAAATTTATTGGAAGAAGACACATCCAGAATCAGAGAGGAAGAGAGTGATAAGAGACTTAGCAAATATTTATAATGGTAATATGTACTGAAAAACAGAATTAATAGAGATTTAATACGCAAACAAATCATATATACGGATTAAGAAGTTAGATAGCATCTGAGAGGATTGAGTAACAGGCTGTTTTATCGAAAAAACTGTTACCTTGATAAATTGGAAAATATGAAATACATTATTACCTTCATGAATCAGGATAAATCTCGTGAGGATATTGGATAGAAAGCTAAGAGGATGAACTTATGTTAGCCAATTTGGCCTCAAAGTATATTCATGTAATTACTTTCTCTTCTTTTTCTTTTCCTCGCTTTAATAAGAATTCGCATGGTTTCTTCTCTAGCTTCCTTCTCCAATTGGCACTCCTTACCTGCCATTACAACAGAGTTAGGTGTTAATCATTAGGCCATAAATGGATCGGTTGTAAGGTCATGAAGAAAAAATGGAACATGTGGTGATAGAAACTGATGAGAACTACAAGAAATTACTAGAGTGAAAATGGTGATACCAAAGAAGAATCGCCTGTGATGAATAAACATTATTTGAAAAAAATGGAATATAAATACAAATATTTAGTGCGGTAAAGAAATATATTATATTTGTTATTTTTAGAATGATAATGAACTGATGGCACTTTGTGCTTCAAAATTGGTATGGAATAAAATGGTGATTAAGCTCAACAGTCTGGGAATAATAATAAAAAAAAAGTATAATCTTTTATAAAATGGAAAAACAGCTGAGCACATTGTGGGCTTCGAAAATTCAATGCCCCCGACTCTCCTCATTTTGAGAGGACTTTTGATATGGGGTCGAGGTTTTCTATAGGTGCAATGCCCTGTGGCTAATTACCCCTTCTGATAACAAGAGAACGCTTTTAATTAAGGCTATTTATTAAGTGTTAAATATTCAATGTATAGTAGCAGTGGACTTATGATTATAGATTATAAAATTTATCACCTAAAGCTTAAAACAGTGGCAGAAGAAATTGTGACAACCCGATCAAGATCTCATGCTTACACCATTCTGAGTCGTCGTGGTCTCTAATTTATTTAGTCAGAGGAGATAGTCAATCCAACCTGACTGAAGGATTCTTATCAGCAAACATGGGTGAGTTGTCCAAGAGACCCTTATAAATCTGCGGTGGAAATTTGCCTAAGAGGATAAATTTAAGTCTACATTAGCTAAAAAAAAATTTACACTAATCAATTGTATCCTTATGGACCACAACGCAAATGATAGCAGATCGTTAGGGAACATACGAGCTGCGGCTGTGATTAAAATATAGAGGAATAATTTGGCGCAAACTACTCGGTCAGAGAGTTCTGGTCGTAACTGTTATTTTGTGGTGTCATTTGGCCGCAAAAACACCCGGATAAATAACTTAAGCCACCTCCTTACTGGCGTAGCTTGTTTTTAGTGTGAATACAATGATATACTCGATATGAGATTAGCTTTTTGAGACCTAATGTCAATCAAAGTTTGTCACGCTCGACATACTGTTGATGAGGGTGGACGAATTTTGTTTGTAGCTTTTAAGTGGATGAATTTTAACATAAATATTTTAATTTGTTTGCTTTAAATTTCTTTTAAAGGATTGATTTAATTTGAGTGTTTTGATTTATTATTTTGAGAACTTGATTTGGAAATTAATTAAAAAGTTGACCTCTCCGAAAGAGATTTTCATCCTACACCCATTATCAAAAATTTGATTGCTTAATTTGAACCTTGTTGACTTTACATCTTATTTGTAAAGGATTGGACTTACGATTGACATATGATTGTATGCAAACTTTGTCAAATTTGCCCTGCTTACTGCGAATCAGGTTAATGATATATCATTTGTATTTATTCAAATTTTCTTTTGAACTTAATTTTAAAAATAAAGTTTGGCATCATCGGGGATTTAAGTAGCTTTGAACAATGTTGACTCTGTCTTGCTTATAGAGGATCAGATTTATAACATAAATTATTTGAATTTATTCAAGTATTCTTTTGAATTAAATTTTAAAAATAAATCCCTCAAGTTAAAATCTTCATTCAACTTGGTTATCATCAAGAAATTTGAACATTTGAAAAATTTATACTTGAAATGTATTCGAAATGTGTTATTTTACTATTTGTTAAAATGTTAATTTTTTCGACTCCAATCCTTACAAAGAGAAGGATCAGACTATGTGGTTTGGACTTGAAAAATTTATATTTATGATTTGGACATTTATTTCAAAATTATTAGACTTATTAACTCCAATACTTAAGAGAAGGATGATCAGATTAATCAGGTGGGATTTACAGTCATGTTCTATAAACAAAGTGGTCGTAACGTTAAGCTGCACAAGATTCTCGGACCATTTTGAATTTAAACTAATCTATTTGGTGGAGCGCATGCTGACGTGGATTTATTTTCGCATGAGCGCCATCTCACAGGATCGCACAAGGCGTGAATTGGAATCTCTCGATCCAGGCAAACAAGGGGACAATCGGCCCATCTAAAGCGTGGGAATGTCGCCCACTCGATGGGTAACCGCTCCTTAGTTACCCTAGTATTATATTTGATGTTCCTTCGTGTTTTAGGTTAGTTTTGTGTATATTTCTGCTCAAGACAGCCCTCAACATGTTTTTCCCTACATGGGCTGTATTGAAGGCGAGAAAATGCTTCGATTGCAACTCTTCCGAGGTGATAACCGTCTCCCAAGGATCAAATAGTGCTTCGGATGTAGTTCGTCCAGCAGAGAAATTTATCCTCGATTTCCCTTCTGGAGCAACCTTTCTTTCACCTTCGCCCTCACCATATTTGCTGCTGCCATTGGAAAACAACCCTGTTATTGGTTTTTCTACAACCCACAATCCCGGACCACCATCTTCACAAGAAGCTTAATAAAGAGGAGGAGAAATACAAGAAGGCCACGGAGCTTTTCTATCTTTAATAAACTCAAAAAAGTTTTACATTACATTATCTGCACATTTAAATAGACCCTCCTGATGGAATGCTTGTAATATAGCATACATGGCATCATGGTACATATAATATGTACTAATCCAAACATAAATGTCGCGGACAAGACTCAAAAAGTCTTAGCTTGAGAGACCTCCATCCAGCAACAATGATGAGCTGGAGACAGAGAGCATGGAAGGATGGAGGAACAGCTGAGCCGCAGGTATGCCACAGGATGACTGTTTATCCCCCCTCCAAACTGAGAATCAGAGGAAAGGAGCATCAGTTGGTGGTTAAGAGGTGATGGTGAGTCTTTGGTAAGGATTTGGTGAGAATATCGACAATTTGATCTACTGTCATGATATGTTGGAGAGTGATGTTGTTGAGTTTAAGGTGTTCTGTTATGAAGTGATAGTCAACTTCTATATGCTTTGTGCGAACATGAAACACGGCATTGTGAGCAAAGAGATAGCAGTTTTACTGTTACTGTAGATCGTTGTTGTAGGAGGGGCTTTTCTAGTGAGATCCTGAAGTAACATTCCTGGCCAGAGAATTTCTATAGTGGTTGTAGCAATTGCAAGATATTTCGCCTCTGTGGATGATCTCCCCATAGTTGGTTGCTTCTTAGCGGATTGGGAAATTAAATTCAGGCTAAGAAAAATGCAAAAGCCGATGGCTGATTCTCGAACAGTGTTGTTGTTGGCCCAATCTACATCTGCATAGGCTTGAAATTGTAGAGGTCCAAATGATATGAGAAGACCATGTGAGGGAGTCCCCGTTGAGATACCTTAGAAGTCGTTTGAGGAGTTGATGATGAATGGGGGTGAGATTGTGCACATATTGACTCGGTAAGTTAACAGTAAATGTAAAGTCGGGTCAGGTGACAGTGATGTATTGAAGTGAGACTATGAGTTGATGATAATGTTGAGAATAAGACCATGTGAGGGAGTCCCGTTGAGATATCTTAGAAGTCGTTTGAGGAGTTGATGATGAATGGTGGTGAGATGGAGCACAGATTGACTCGGTAAGTTAACAGTAAATGTAAAGTCGGGTCAGGTGGCAGTGATATATTGAAGTGAGACTATGAGTTGATGATAATGTTGAGAATCTTGCAAAGTTTTTGAGTTTGTGCTGTGTTTGAGTGAATATGTAGGCAGAGGTGTAAGAACAGGTTTGGAATCGACCATTCCTCACTCGTGAGAAGATCAGTGAGATATGCGTGCTGAAGTAATAAGCAGCCGAATTTGATTTTTTCTATTCGTTAGCCTAAAAAATGTGAAAGTTGGCCTAGTTGTTTTAGACTTGTATAGGGTGTGAATGAGAGATGTATGGTAGTGGGCGAGTTTTCTGTTATAAGTTTATCATCAACATATACAAGTTGTTGAGAACTTAGGGCGAAGAAAAACAGAAATCGACACAAATCTAAAAGAATACAAATAGATTTAACGAGGTTCGGCAAAGATGCTTACGTCCTCGGGAGCAGAGCGACAACTTTTCCTTCAATTCAGAAAAGAATACAGAATAATGGGACCTAGGGTTACAAACATATATATAACCCTGAAGTACAATACGTAATTACAGAATTACTGTTGTACCGTACCGCGGGGCGTTGCCCCCGCACCCCCAACCCACATAACGAAACTCCCCCGATTGGACAGATTCTTCCGCTCCGCTCTACTAGCTCGCTCCGTTCCGCTCCAGCATCTGTCCAAGATGGTATATGAGTCATACCTAACAAATCTTCACATTTGCGAATATCCAATCCCTTAAAAGAAATACATCATGAAGTTTCTTACTCGCTGAAGTGGGTTGGGCTGTCATGCTGTCTAAGCAACTGCAAACATTCAAAAAGTCCAAGCAATGCAAGAACTTGTTGATAACAACTGACTTGGTTAACATATCAGTTGCATTTTCATCAGTATAAACCTTTTTGCAACAAAATATCACCAGAAGCAATCAATTCTCTAATCTTGTGATATTCGACATCAATGTGCTTTGTTCTCACATGATACGCCTGGTTCTTTGGCCAGATAAATGACACTCACATCAAGCCGTGATAAATATGTGATTATTTGATTGAAGCCATTAACACGCTGAGCCAGATCAGAACCTTCTTGCATCTCCAGCCCATACAGCTTTTGCTTCAGATATAGTTTATTCGTCAGAAATTTGGACATAAACTGAATTTCTAATTTCTTCCATACCTCTTTTGGAGATTTTAGATCCATTACTGATATATAACCTCATATGTCAGACATAAGTGTATGGTTGCACATAAGTGTATGATTGTTACCGCTCATCGTTGCAATTTTTCAAGATCTTCATCCTCAATGGCATTTGGTTTCGTTGCCCGCAAAGCCTTCAAGATTCCCTGTTGTGTCAATAAATCTTTCACTATTGTTTGTCACAAACCGAAGTTACCAGTTCCATCAAACTTC